TCTATAGGATTTAGTATGGCCTGCACCATGCATTTGGGTTAAAGCCTAACTCCTTGATGGACAGATTATGTCTCAGATGTCAAATGACAGTGAAATTACACAAGCAGCACTGTACTCAATGTCTTTTTGTGTTCCTCAGGCCTCTAAATTTCTCATGTGCAAGAATAAACAATATGTGTTTAAGAATAAACAATGAATAAATGAATAAGCAGAGAGTTTTGATCTCTTGCCTTACCGCCAGTCTGCCCCTGAGGGCTGTTCCTATCTGAAACATGAGCTCCCTGCCAGTGAAGCTTGAGATGAACATACCCATGTAGCTGTGGGCTTGCAAGGGCTGGTGCACTGACCTGTGATCTGTGTAAGCAGATTGTGAAGCTTTTCTGGTAAAGAAAGATGTCATACATGAGAACACAGCAGTGTGCTTGAGGATGTAGGTTTGTAATTAAGTTTCAATTGGGATAGAAAATATCCTGTTTCTTAATGCTTTTTGGTTTTGTGAAACGAGCTTGTATTAACTATGAGAGAGTTTCATTTGGGATCAAGGTTGCTCTGAACACATATCACATATAATTAAATTATTGTCTATCTTAGTTATCAAGAGCCAACTATTGTATTATTTATTCATCATCTTAACACTTTCTCATAGGGCACCTATGAGATAAGGAAGAACTGATAGCTTTCCTGGTCACAGAATGGCTGAAGATTGCATATACTGGAGTAGCAATTTGAAATCTCTAATATCTAGATCCATGTGACTTGTTGAAAAATTAGGGAAGGAAAGACAGTGAGGGAGCTGGGGTTTCAGTCCTACTCTTCCGAACAGTCTCTTCAAGTTCCAGAACAATGGAATTATAATACTGATCTCTTTTTTCTTCCTTTCTCCAATTGTGAATTTGCTTTGTTCACAATTTTCTTCAACATCCCCCCACTTATGACCTTTCCCTTATCCCTCCTGTTCCAGGTTGCCAGTTCTCCTCTAATATTATACTAGACACTAGACTTCCATTCCCCAAAGGAGAGACATCTGTCTCATATGCAATTCTGGTGAGATACATAAATAGAGGCCTTATAAAGGTCTGTTCTGCAATCTGTATTTTAAAACTAATGTTTTATTGCTATCAGCATACTTTGGAAAGGTGGCTATGATTATTGCCATTCAGACTTTACATTTTTAGTTTTCTGGTTCTGGAAAAATATTTAGAAAGGGTTTCAGCTGTTCTTGTTGCCAACACAGCAGTTATAAATGCTATTTAAGCAGCAGTGTGTATAAGAGTTTATATGTTCCTTAGGAAGCAAATAGAAAATACAAACCTTTAATAATGTATAAGGATTCAGGACTGAAAGATTTGTACCTACATCTAGAAAAAAGCTGAGACCTGCACCCTGCACTCCCTTTTCTTCCAAATGAGTTATATGAACAATAATATAAGAAAACCTCACCAAAATCAACCAGATCTTATTATTAAGATCCCTTAATGTCAGGATATTTTATGGGTATGAATTTAAGGATGCGTAATAGTTCCTGTTCCATTCAAAGATAATCTGCTGCATAAATGTCTTAATATAACATGGGTCAATTGTTTTAATTAGGATTATTAAGTCTCTTATTCCCTCAGTTTTGTGTGATGGCAATTCCTAAGTCTAAGTATAACCGGTATCTCTTGTAACTTCAGAAAACCCCAGGATGTTATGCTTTGAAAAGTTCATAATAGTTAACTTTTGAAATAGTGACTTTTTGAAACCATTCCACATTTTTCATAACTTCAAAGCTTTCATTAAAAAGAATTGTAACATCTACTATTTGTGTAAGAATGGCATACTGACATACAGACTTGGAAAATATCTTGCACTTGGTGTGTAATAAATCTGCTTTTCAGATTTGTTGAACATATTAAACCATTCTTACTGGAAAGGAAAATAATCTTTGAATTTTGTCTTACTATAACTGGAGCATTAATGTGCTGATTATTTGAAATTAATGAGAGATATACAGTTGACAGAACATTCATTTTATTTCCTTCACTTTTATTTCCTCTGTTTCAAAAATCATGTTTTTCTTTTTTCTGCACAACTTAGTAAAGAATAGGGAGTAAGGAATATAGTAGAGATTTTAAGACAGACTACAGCCTGGAAAACATACAAGTAGGGGAGTTTTTTTTACAATAATTGACTTTTTTTATTCGATGAATGAAGCAAAAAAAAGAATTAGTACCATTTTTGGAGAATGTAAAGGGGGAAACATGAATTTCTTCCAATGACTAGGAGTATCGAAAGACCTTGTTTTCTGCCAGCAGGTAACTTGAGTCTTTAGAGACAGTTAAAGATCTGTCTATCTATTCTGAAACTACAAAGAAAGTTGCTTTTAATTCAACACATATATTTGAAGATGAAATTATGAAACTTCTTTTGCTAAGTGTCATCATTTTGATAGGTTTTCCACCAGCTGCAGTACTAGCAAAACATGAAACAAACTTTATCATGTGAACATTAAATATTCAGTCTAATACTAATATCAAGTGCTGATTTTCTTCCAATTTTAATGCAGCTGGAAGCTGACAATGAAGTCCAATCTAAGCTCTAATGTTGCCGATGCAATAAAAATGATAATTTTCATTGCAGTAACAGTAATGGTAGATACAAAATTCTTTTCAGAAATCCAAAATTTGAGCCAATTTGGCTCAGGTACATTTGTACCAACTTCATGATTCCAATGAGCCTTCAAGCCTGTAAATGCAGAAGCAGAGATTCAACAAAATTCATATTTTAATTTGAAAGAAAATTACATCTCATCGTGTAAATGTTCTGAAGAGATAGAGTTGGTGACCTTCTTAAGAGAAATAACCATGGCCACTCAGTAACAACCAAACAAGAAGAATGAGAAAACTGTACTGGAAGAATATTACAGAAAGATACTTGATAATGTGTTTTTGCAGGCACAAAGCAAGTCTTTAACAGTAGATAGTTCTGACTGTAAATAGGGAGATATAACTTTAATACTAGGTATACTATACTCCTGGCTGCAGTAAAAACCTATTGTGAGATACGGTTTGACAATTTTAATTTTTGTTTTAGTTATATATGCCTATTCTTCACTTATTATCTTAAAATATGGTGTACTGATGACAATAAAAAGGAGATGGATTCACAGGCAGCTATGACAATGTGAATGGCTTTCAAAGTGGTAGACAGAGAAGGAGGGGATTTTTAGGAATAAAGATAATGTGTGTTGGAATGTATTCCCTGTACAACAAAAAAATTCTGTTATGGGCAAAAGAGTAAGAAGTTGCAACTAAACCTCAAACAGATTCAGAATATAAGTAAAATTTCAGTAAAGTTTTCGATTGAGTTGTACACCTTTGCTTTCTTATAATGCTTATTCCTCCCTGAGTTTCAACTTTCCAAAAGAAAAAAAAAATTCCAAGTTCATCATGGAGAATGTAGAGGGAAAATTGACTATATTGTAATTACCTTTTCCAGTTTAATTTCACAGGCCTTACAAAAAATGAGTAAGGGTTTTCAGCCAGATCAGATTGTTTATTCTGCCCAAACTCCATCCCTCTGATCAGCTTTTGTTGCAGACTCTGGTATCACAGATTCCCTCTTTTATAGAGATAGGAAATTAAAGAAAAATGGTACATTTTTAAAGGTAGATTGATAGGGAAGATAGGAAGACTATCTAATCCTACAATATTAAATGTTTTTATTATTGCAATCCTTGCTACAGTTTTGCTGTATAGAAACTGCATTATAAAGAAGAGAGAAGTTAATTCTACAGAACAGAGCAGTATATTGCAAAATGTCATATATTTGCATCTCATAAGGGATTGATCTGGTGGAATAAATGTTGAAACTGAAAGTCATCTAACTGCTTTGTCTTTTCCACTGTTTCCTCTCTTCTTTATTGTTAGTTTATGTTCAATATTTTGCTTGAATTAAGTGCTTTTTTTACAATCCAGAATTTCTAGTGTTATGTCCCTGCTTCTGTTAGCACTTAAATTTATATCCAAAATATCATCTACTATTCTGTACTGCAGACATGAACTACACTCACAACAGGCCATCTTCGTTATAGCAGCCCTGGGTTGTATAACATTTTTAATAAAATTACTCTTATTTTCAATAAAGAAATAATCACATATTCAAATAAATACCATGCAAAGACAGTTGTTCCTTCTAAAAGGACTCCAGCAGCAACATAGGCACTAAAAGGGCTGGATTTGTGCTGGATGCATCTCAGTAGCAGCTGTGGGGTGAAAAGAGAATGTCCCATAGGTAATGCAGCTTTCTGTGAAGAACCAAGGAGCACAGAATATGCTCTCCATGATTCATCATTCTTCCTCTTCAAGTGCATGATGCAGATTCTGTAATAAATGGGCATCTGTAAAAAGCATTGTCAAGGGACATTGTTACAAGGGCAGCAGTCTGCTTTCTGCTTGCGGGAAAGAAACTCTGCATGATGAGCGCCTCTCTGCACATAAATTAGTACAACACTCCCAGAATCTTCATACTGAGTGACCATAAAGATGAACAACCTGATGAAAAATGTGCTCTAGTTAATGCAAATCTGAAGAAATTCAGTATATATCAAAAGAACTATTTAATCTATTTCAGTTTCATTCAAATGCTTGCAACACTACAACTTCATCTTCTGCAATAAGGCTTTGTAAATTAGCATGCAGGTATAATTAAAATATAAATATAATATTAGGTAAAATTACAAAGGAAAGTAAAAGTATGCTTGCTGCCTCACCTGTAACACTGTACTGCCTTTGACATTTTGACCATTACTAGTACCTCTAGAAGCAGTTGAAAAATACATGAAAAAAAAAAAAACAAACCCAAACAGTAGATTACTTTCAGTCACTACAGACCTAAATTATTTTTAAGGTGGTGATTGACTGATGACAGTTTCTGCACTCTCGTGAGTAATTCAGAAATAAATCAACTAAAAACACCCATTTCATCTTTTTCTTCCTTTTTTATTTGTTTAGGCCACCATATCAAAATGTGTGTTTCAGAAAACATGGAAACACTTCTGTATTGGAGATATTGGTGTTCAGATGCTGATCATTCAATAGTTTATTCCAGTTACAGGGAGTTTCCTCCACAGATTTTTTCCCCCATATATCCTCTGACAAAGCCTGAATGTTGTCCAGAATGGCAATATGAAACTTGGTGTCCTCAGTTTTCATGAATTTCACAAAATCTATGGCAAACTGACTTTGGTCTATCACATTTAGAGTCTCACTCACAGACTTGCTGACAAGTACATAGAGGTTGTCATCTTTGAAGTAATGTATCTGGAGGAGAAATATCCCTGTAACCTGAGTGGTAAATGGAGTCAGTGAAAAAGTCCATTCTGACTTCAAAAGGCTGTTCCAGTGATTTTAAGGCTGGTACTGATGAGCCTCAATACAGGCCATAAACATCTGCCTCTTCCCCAGGCTTTTTTTGAACATGCAGCAGTTCCCTAGAGGAAAGTGGCAGCTCACTTAAGCCTTCAAGCCCTTCTGGAGGGCCTCTCGCCATAGTTACCTCTCATCTAGCATCACACTGTGCAGCTGGGATTTGCTGGTTACCCCACACAGGTGGTCAAACTCAACAGAGAATTTGTCCTGACAGTCAAAGCAGCTGTTTCCCCCTAAGTCGTTCCAGGGGGTTGGTAGCACAATGTGCCTGTTTATTTGGCTGGGGGTGAAATTGTTCTCGTGACAAGTCTCCATGCGGGCAGTCTTCTGCCTCACCACCTTGACATCTTGGACCAGAGCGGAGAGATCTTGGACAACTCTGGCCAAAGTCCCTGGGAGGAGGCTGGCGCAGGCGGCCACAAACGAGAGATGCCTTCTCCAGCTTGTGCAGCTCCTGCCTTGCGCACGTGCTGGGGGTGAGGGCTATCCAAAGGGCAGGAGACTGCAGGTGAGGGGAGGGCACATGGGTCTCTTCGTGCTGGAGGGGAAAGGCACAAGATGGTGGCGGGAAGGGGCCTGGGCTGAGGGCACACAGTTTGTGACCTCACAGTGGCACCGGGGCAGCGCTGGTGGGGGCCAAGGTTGGGGGCAAGGGTAGGGAAAGGCCTCCACCGGCAACCAGACCAAGCTGAGGTGATGTCCTGCCAAACGCTGCCAATGTCACCGCAGTGAAAAGACCTGAGCAGGCGATGCAGAGCCACCATGGAGGAGAACAGATATCCTTCTTCTGTTCTACCTCCTCCTCCTTTTGCTGCTCTACCTCCTCTCCTCTCCCTGTCTTGAGACAGCTGCCATTGTGTCACCTCCCCTGCATGCCTCTTTGTCCCCAGGCCTGTGCCTGGCCCGTGTGTGCATGGGACCCCCTGGTCCCTGTGGGACCAACTGAGGTTGGCTGGGTGGGCGCAGTGCTGGGCACATTCACCTCACTGAGGTTTGTTCTTGGTACTCTTCTTCCTGCCATTCTCCACAGCTGCTGAATCTCCCCAGCCTCCTCTCCTCTCACTGCACCCTGTTCTTTACCCTGACTACCCCTTGTTTTCCTTCATGCTCTCCCCTTCTCTTTCTCTTGCCCTTTTTGTCACCTTTGCCATCAGTGTCTCTGGGTGCAGAGCAAAAATGACTTCCTGCGTGCTTCAGAGCCTGCTTCATTCTCAGAAATTAGAAGACAAGGATGAGAAAAACAAAGTGGAAACTTTTTAGGTTTAAAAATATTAGACTTCTTTCCTTCCCCCCCTCATTAGAAGGCAATGACATAGGCCAGAAGTTTCCTTAACCTGGTCTCTTATACGTGGTTTTTGTCCATCATTCAGAATGAGTTCAGGACTGGGAAGATTGATTTAGATAGCACAATGAAGCTGCTTGAAAAACTGCAAATATCTTTTGATTTTGAACATGTAAAACATGTTTTCAAGGTGAGGAATATGTAGATTAAGCAATTAAATATGTTTAGAAGTCTAGTTACATAAGTGTCTTATATTTGCTGACTTCTTAAAATTAATGTTTTGAGAAATGAATTTCATGCTAGTAGGGTGTGCAAACTCAGCAAATAATTTGCCTCGTCCAGGTTCTTTTGTTTCTATGTGAAATAGATAACTGAGTGGTTGCATTAGAATCATAGAATCATTTAGGTTGGAAAAGACCTTTAAGATCATTGAGTCCAACCATTAACCTAACACTGCCAAGTCCACAACTGAACCATGTCCCTAAGCACCACATCTATGCATCTTTTAAATACCTCTAGGGCTGGTGACTCCACCACTTTCCTGGGCAGTCTGTTCTAATTCTTATAACACTTTCAGTGAAGCAATTTTTTCCCAATATCCAATTTAACTCTCCCCTGGTGCAACCTGAGGCCATTTCCTCTTGTCCTATTACTTGTTCCTTGGGAGAAGAGACCAACACCCAAGAAACACCATCTCTTCACCACACCAAAATAGTGTAGAGTGATGGAGACTATGAAGGTCTTGATTCCCAACTTTTTTGTAACATAGCCCCACTTCAGAAAAATTAAAACATTCTGGTTTCATCCCATCCAGCTGCCTCCGTGATCAAGCTAAGTAGCTCAGGCATGCCTGTCTGATGCTGGTAGAGCCATTAAAGTGACTTCCTAAAAATCCTTTTGCTAATATGAGGACAAAATGGAGTTGTTTGATCTACTCAGGCTTCAGGACAACATAGATCCAGCACACCTGTTCATTCATTTTTTCACTATACCTCTCCTCTGAATTACTTAAGAGGTGTGCCCAAATGGATGGGAATTGCACTCTAACCCCTAGGAAAGGATGTGTCCTTGAGATAGGGCAATGTTTAAGAGATTCTTACGAAGGTTATATGATACAGTTAGAAATTGGTCTTACTAATAAGTTAATTTAGTGTAGGTAAGCAAACTAACATCAAGTGGATGCAAATCCAGTGAACAAATACTGCAAAATTGACTGCCTTTGGACATATTGGGTTTTCATGTTCTTCAGGTCCCCTCTAGTAATTACTCAAAAGATCTATGATTTTTCCTTTTACTTCATTTTTTTAAAACAAGATTAGCTGTTTGGTAAAGCTGTTTTCCTAAAAGAATGATGCCAAGTGGCTATATATATGTGATTTCTTTGAGAATTTTGTAACCAGCTGGATGATTCTGTCCACATTCAACAGAGGAGAATTAATTATGGCAAGTCAGAAACTTTTAGGTCACATGCTGACAAGCAGGCAGGCAGAGGGAAGTCATTAAGTTCTCCTAAGTCTATCTTGTTCCTCTCTCATTGTTTTCTGCCTTGGCAAGCCAAGGTAAAACTGGCAGTGTGAACACAACACGTGCTAAAGAAGCTGTCTGTGTTTTTTGAACTTGCACTGCATTGAGAGAATTGCCAACCTTGAGAATTTCATGAGAACTTGAAATTTTTGTCATTGTTTCCTATGTTTTCCACCCACTTCGCTTTATGATGGAAATTTGAGAGAGATGATCAATTGTAGGTAGAGAAGAAAGTAATTATGTGAGGAAGTATCCTTCATAGAACAAGTCTGAACTAGTTATATTTAACAATATAATATACTCAACAGTCTGATCTAGTTATTTGTAGCAGTACTGTTAAAGTGGTATTTGCTATTTCAGAGAGAATTGAGTATATTCAGTAGTTTTGGGACTCAAATTGTTCACCAGTATAACAATATGTAAAAATGCAAAGCAGTCTGGAAGGAAATCTTACTGGCATTGTCAGTAACTACACATCAACAGTTAATTGAATGGTAATACATGACAAAATCAATTTTATAGTAAACATAGCTTTTAAAAAATAATCTGATTTTTTCTTATCTACTCTGAATATATTTTACTGTAGTGCTCCTCTGAGCAATATCAGAATTATAAACATTAAGATTTTTAAGGAATAATACATTTTAATATAATTCCTTTCAAGACTAGGTTTTTGTCAAGACACTTCTTTTTCTGAATAGCAAAAATTTGATATTAGCAAAGAATAATAAAAATCTACTAACAAAAATTGTATAACAATCTTTTCTTTTTTTAATATCTACACGATTTTCATAACTTTATTTTGAAAAGCTCTTCTGTGTAATATTATTGCTTGTATTTCATCAAGAGGGAACTGAGATAGAAAATTAAATTTTTTTGCCCAGCTTCTGTTTGTGCCAATACTTAAGTAAATGTCTCTTGAGTGTTGATAGATTATTTAATTTGAAAATAAGTTAGTATTTTCTTTTTCTATTTAACAGTTATGAGTAAATTTGCAGTTTTCTTAAAGATGTTAAAAATTAGATTGAGGATGTCAACCTTAGACATGGGATTTCTCAAGCAGTAATGAAATGCATATTATTAACATTTGTACTGAATTGTTTTCTCGCTGGCAATTTCTGTTAAATATGTTCCTTACTATTCTCCTTCACAAACTCAAAGCAAATACTTAAATACTGACTTGTAAAATTTTTGGCTAGAACTCCTCATGAAGTTTACTTTTGTAATTGTTTTGATTATCTCATGTATTTTATTGTTGTACTTATTAAGACATCTCTTAGTAGAAACTGTACTGCATAGGAAGAAGTTGGTAATGTATCATTGAGCTTTTAGTTTTTATGGTGTCTCCTGAAAACTAGTCTAATTTAGTAGTGATAAAAAACTTCATCAAAGAGCAGCCAGAGCTCAAGTAAGCCATTTCAGCTCTATTGACACTTTTGGGGAAGCTCTACTAACCAGAGTAGGTGCCATGTTATTAGATGCTAGGATTTAGCCTCTTTGGTAGTCTCAGTTTAAGGAGCCAACAGTTACGAATTTTGATCAGCTTACAGTGATAATCAATGAGGCAATGAATTCCCATTTATTTCTGATTTTTGTGAGTAACTTTGTCAGTAAAGTTCCAAAGTTTCTCTTAATTTGGCAACTTTTAAGAATAATACAGGCTAAAATATTAGAAATTTTGATATTTCATTGGCACAATTACATACTTTGTGTAGAAAATTTTAAAGGATAAATAAAATTGTTAAGTTTGAAAAAAATGTAAATGGTAGAAATGGTAAAGAGTATTATTCTACTCAAACTCTTTTGCCCTTTTGATTTTTCTAGTGGCTTTTATACTATAACTAAGATTAATTAATGTGCTAACATTTTGTAAGGTCTATGAAAACAAGCTTACAGTTTAAGAATTCTGAAAGTGTGAATAATTAATCTGAGTTAAACATTCTGGCTTGTTAAGAATAGAACACGATGTCATAGGTTATAATAAAGTATCTTGTCTCCAAACTTTAATAGTGCTTCTTATCTGATGTATTGAAAGACTTGGATCTCATGATAATTTGGTCATCCTTATTTAATTTCTTAGATTACTCTTTGCTGTATGTTGTATGTAAATTTAACTGACAGCATTTACAATATAGTTTAAATTTCTGTTGGAAAGGTATTATATTAAATATATTTTCTATTTGATAATTTTTATGCTGCAGATTTATTTTATAGCATAACATTTTAGAGGTTTTATATAATTCTTTTTAATATTGCATATGTGTTACATAGAAATATATTTAATTACTTAGATGTTAATTATGTCATATGGTACATTTTAGTTTGTATAAAATAATTTTAACACAGAAAGTCAAATCTGAAAATTGCATATAGAAGTAGAATAATATAATTTGATAATGCATTGTAGTCACTGTTGTGTGAGGTTTTCTTCTTTTATGATTGGTTTTAAGAGTGTTTTATGTGTATCTTTGTATCATTGCATATGTTTGTTTTGACTGTTTTGATTTATCTTTTTTTTTCCAGAAAACGGTTGACAAACGGAAGGTACACACGATTAACATGGAAGACTTCAGGGCAATTTATCGAACTCTTGTACACAGATCTGAATTTCACGAAATTTTCCGTGCTTATTCTCCAAACTGCAAAATTCTAGCTGACACTGAGCTCATTGATTTTCTTAAAAAAGAACAATTTGAAACTGAAGCTTGTGAAACAACTGCCTTAGAAATCATTCTGAAGTATGAACCCATTGAAGAAGGTATGAATAGTTTATGTATTTGATTTCTAGCTTGTTTATTGTGCTTCTGCCAGTGACTGTGTTTATATTTTTGAATACTCATCTGACTATGCAAATTGAACATTTTAAAGAAAACTAATGTAAGCAATTATAATTATTTCTGTTATATAATAGCTTTTGTAAGCACTTGTACAAAATGTTAATTTTTTGAAAAGCAGATC